TTTTTTATCAAAAAAAAAAAAAAAAAAGAAAAAAAATAAATCTTTTTTCTTTTCAACTTATCTAATCTGATCTAAAATCAACCTAATATCATATTAATCAATTAAAAATTGAATTGTAAAATATTTTATAATATTATTATTTCACTTATGAAAATATTTATATAATTAGAATTCATGATTTTGACATAATAAAATCGAGGTAACATGAAATTAATCATGACCTTACTGGGTATAAGATGAATCAAATAATCTTTCTAACATACATTCTGCACATATGCATAAATCGATATGTAACAGTATGTAGAGCTACTTCGAATTCGTGAATGACGTCCAATTACGATCTTTGATCATACTTTAATATGATACCTTATTTTACAAACATATTATTCTCTATTAGTAAAACATCAAAATTATATTTACCAAATTAAACACATAGATACGAATACAAAAATTTTATATTTTAATTAATAATAATATAAAAAATATTCTAGCATCTTTTGCAATTTAATAAATATTTTATTAATGAAAATTTAGATTTATTTACAATCAGAATTATTATTTCACAAAAAATAAAGTACACTTTTATATAAAGATAATAAAAATCATATCAGCGTTTTGAATTACTAGTTCTGTTTTTCTTTTTTTTTAATTTTATTCTTAGATGAATATCGAATAGAATTCGATTCGAAAAAATTAAGAATCGAGAAAACGATACGAAGGAGAGGCTGATATTTGAAACTGTTTCAATAGAAGAGAATATAGAAATATGTCTCGAGAACGAGAATGTATATGTAATATATTATAATTATGATTGAATATAATTAATATATAATGAAACAGAATAATTTAACCATTGGATAAATGAAACGAGTTTAATTATGATTAAAAATGAACTATTTATTCAAACACAATTAAACTTACAAGAATATTTTTTATTTAATTCTTCTTATCAGATTTTTATAATTAATTAATACTTAGAAGTTAATTAATTCATTTATTCATAATATAGCATTGTATTGTGCAATATGGAATATATTTTTTTTTTTCGTTTTTCTCGCATTTAATATAATAATAGGAAATTTGTATGAATCGGATGAGTATAATAAAAAATATGGAAAATTATTTTTTTCGCATTTTTCCTTAAAATTATAAGTAATTTTTTTTAATATTATTTTTGAAATAGTTAAAAAATAAAATAAAGAGATAATATTCTTTTATTTAACTTGTTAACTAGGTCATTTCTCTTTAAAAAGAGAATCTCCTTTTGATATGGAAGAATTAATAAAGATGATCCAATTTTAATTAAATTGATTTCAGATTTTGTGTAGAAATATAATATATGTACATATAATATAAAGCTCTTTTCAAACATTTTCAATTTTTAATAAAATTTCAATATTTCATATGAATCATAAATTTTTTTTGCAATTTATAAATAACCAATGTATTATTAATTATAGCAATATAATATACAAAATTAAATCAAATTGCAATTCTACAATTATACATATATAATATTACAATATTAACACATATATTATATAATTTTAATTTTGTACAATGTAAATTGAAAATTGTTTTATATTTATTAATTGTCTTATTAATATATTTATAAACATAAGAAAAATTTAATAAAACAAATAATATAATATAATATTATATGTTTTTAGAAAAGAATTTTTTGTTGAATGTTTTGAAAAGAGTTTTTTAACACAAAGTTAGAAATTCATTTAGTTCTGAAACTGGCCGCTATGGTGCGTTTTGAATGAACTTGATTCTCGTTTTTAAAAATATCCTGCAGCTATAGCAAATATAATGGAACACAGGAGGGAAGCATACTTACCTGGCGTGGAGGATACCGTGATCACAAAGGCGGTTCCTCCAGGGTGAGGCTCTTCCATTGCACCACGGTTGAGCTGACCCCTGCGAATACCCCTAACGTGGGTATCTCGGACGTATAATTTTTGATAGTCGGGAACAGCGTTCGCGCTATCCCGGTCAATTTAATGAAAAAAAAAAAATGTATATATCATATTTTTAGATTTTTGAAATTTCAATTTAAGATTTTATGAGATCTCGAAATTTGAATTCGATACTTTGAAATTCGAATTTGAATACTTGTGAAAAAATCAAAATTCAAATTCAAGACTATATGAGATTTTGAAATTCTTGAAACTTTTAGAAAAAAACTCAAATTCGAAACTTTGTAAGATTTCGAAACTGGAAATTCGAATTCGAAATTCTTGGAATTTCAAAACTCTCGAGATTTTGTAAAATCTTTAAAATTCTTGAAACATTAAAAACTTAAAAATTCGAATTCAAATTTTGTGAAATCACGAAATTCTCGAATTCGAGAAGTAATAAATATTTAAATATATAGTACAAACGATAAATTAATAAACGATTAATGTTCTTCTTAGTTAACACTTAGTTTTTAGTTAAATAAATTACAAAATATCTTTATATAAAATTATAATTAAAATTATAATTATATATTCAAAAAATTGCAATCATACATTGCAGCATTTGATTATTAATTAATTTGTAATAATATGTATATATTCTAATGCAGGATGACGACAAGAAATTGATTGATGCTCCAGTTAATAAGGTGAGACATAATTTTACTTTATAAACAATCATTTATCGAATGTGTACGTATTGTTAATAAGTTACGAAAGGAAAAAAATAAACACTTTCACTGCTGTGTCAGACACGATGATTCACGCTCCCAACTTACGTTAATTTTCTTTTATTATCATTCGTG